CCCTAGCATCAGCCCCTCACCCCCACCCTAACGTCACCCCTTCACCCTAACATCTCCCCCTCACCCACACCCAGCCCCAGGAAAACCCTCAAGTTTCAGCCCGAATAGCTTCCAGTGGGCCATGAATCTACCAACCTGTCACTCAGAGGTTGGGAGGATTCGGTAAATCCGAAGAATCCCATGGGCACTTATTGGAATAGAGTCATACAGATATGGAGTACGGAAACAGACCCTTCCATCCAACTCGTCAATCCTAGATTCATCTCGTCCCATTTGGCCCATATCCCTCTAAACCCTTCTTATTCATATACCCATTCAGATGCCTTTTAAATGTTGTAATTGTATCAGCTTCCACCATTTCTTCTGGCAGCTCATTCCATACACGCACCACCCTCTGCGAGAAAAAGTTGTCCCTCACGTCCCTTTTAAATCTCTCCCCTCTCACCTAAGCCCCCTAGTTTTGTACTCCCATATCCTGGGGAAAAAGGACCCTGGTTATTACCCCCTCGTGATTTTATAAATCTTTGCAATAGATTGAAACATTGCAGGGCAATGAGCAACGCAGTGAAATTGGACTAATCCAGTGAGTTACACGCAGCTCTCTATCCCTCTCCCCCCTAAAACAAAACAGAGAACTGGGGATACTGGAGATTTGAAAATGAAACAGAAATTGGTGCAGAAACTCCGTGTGGCAGCATCTGTAGAGAGGGAGAGACCTTTCGAGTCCAGTTACTCTTGTTCAGAACGGCTACTGTCTCTCTCTCTAAAAAAAACCGAAAGAACTGCGGATGCTGGAAATCAGAAAGAAAAACAGAAATTGGTGGGAAAACTCCAGAGCAGAATCAGAACTGTTCCGAGGAAGGATCACTGGACCTGAAACGTTAACTCTGATTTCTCTGCACAGGTGCTGCCACACCTGCTGAGCTTATCCCGCAATTTCTTTGTTTTTCTCTCTCTCTCATCAATTTATTTAACTGAACAGGTTAAACAACACCCGATTGGGTACTGTGACAAAAGATCGGATCGTTAACGGAAACTTACAACATGACAACGGAATTGTGTCAGAATTAAACTAAAATGCCATTTCTCAGGGTGTCCTCTGTCTGGGATTTGAAAATAATCTTCAGTCTGTTGTACAGACACCGGCACCTTCCAACAATTCAAAACAATTGAACCTTAGAAACATATTTCCCCAATTAATTCCTTCCAATCATACAACCCAGACTTTACACAAGCAAATTTTAAAAAGTAGAATGAGCCGAAGTGAGAATTTTAACCGATCGTTTTCAAACTGGACGTGAAATTTAAATGACTCCAAATTCGATATTTCTTTGGGGGAGAAGCAAGATCCCTTTTTTTTCAGGGATCTTAGCTTGTACAAAGTTCTATCTTAACATAATGGTTTGTCCTGCCTCTCCCGGTCTGAGCGGAATCCGCCGTCTTTCGCATCCCTGAGAATCTTTTTGAAACGTCGAGTTTCCGATCTCTAGCACCCGCAGTTCTTTGTTTTGTTTTCATCGTGTTGAAAGTCAGCGTGGGGTTGGTAACGAAATAACCAGGTTATATCGCGCACATTTCCGAAACGTCGCTGTTTTAGAAGCGTTCGTTAGCAATTCAAATCACTCATTCAATGCAGGAATGTAGCTACCAAAATCAAATAAAAACTCAGCATATTAATTTATCTTCTGAATATGTTGTAATCAGCGCCCCTTGGTATAAGATACATTCAACGTGAAATGATCGATGATTGTGATATTAAGTGAAGATTGCTAATCGATATCGAATCTTTATTCTTGACAAGAATAGATGTATGTTCAAATTTAAATTCTAACTCAGCGAGAGGGCTATTCAAAAATGAACTCGGGTGGAAGTCACTGAGAGCCATTAATCTTTCACGAATATTGTAAATAAAAGGGAGAGGGTATTAATTAAACTCAGTGAGAGCAAGGTCCGAAAAAGAGGCTGAACGCGGCGACCAAATTAAATCCTAACTAACTGGAGGCAGGGCATGTAGATAAAACTCCTCGCGGATATCTCCTCCGCTGTGTTAGAATTGAAAGCCAGACGGATCACTTGCCCTCCCAGTTACACGGGGAGAGGTTCTGTTTCCCTGGGGTAGACACGGCGCTGGAATTAGCGGCTGCAGTTGGTCCACAGGCGCCTGACCAGGAAGTTGAGAATGTACCTCCTACCGCGCAGATTGTACTGGGTTGCTTCCGGTAAATCTTGTACACTTTGAGTGTATTTAGATCTGAACATTTTTAACCGGTTTGACTCAAAGTGAGGAATTATCCTCCGACTCCGTGAACAGAAATGAGGATGGGAACACATCTCTTCCTAGCCGGGTTGTAATAATTTAACCTCCGAATCCATATTATAGAGTTAATGTTGTCTTTTGGACGTTATAAAATACAATTTATGACATTTACGATTGGATTGCAATTTGATTAAGTCATAGAGATTTTTTTTTCTCCAACACGCAGATTTCCTCCTCTTGGGACTATTGCAAGAGCCGCCTGGTTTGGGCGTTTTGCAACGTTGTAAATAGTTACAAGAACTCTGTAGAGTTATTCGGGATGTTAGTTGAAGTCTGAAGTAATT